ATATCTGAGATGGGGTAATTTATAGAGAAAAAGAAGTTTAATGGACTCAGAGTTCCACACAGCTGGGGAGGCCTCACGATCATGGCAAAAGGCAAAGGAGGAGCAAGGTATGTCTTACATGGTGACAGGCAAGACAGCGTGTGCAGGGGAATTGCCCTTTATAAAACCATCAGATCTTGTGAGACTTCCTCATTATCATGACAACAGCACAGAAAAAAACCCACCCTAATGATTCAATTACCTCCCACCAGGTCCCTCCTATGACTCGTAGGGATTATGAGGGCAACAATCCAAGATGAGATTTGGGTAGGGACACAACCAAACCGTATCATCCACCAACCTACCAACCTTGTTCTTTTTCAGTATTGTACTGATGATCCTAGGTCTTTTGAATCAGTCTGGAAATATCGACAACATATCTTGCTAAAAGTTTGATTGGGATTATATTTAATCTATAGATCAAGTTGTAAATAATTGACACCTTAACGTTAAATTCTCCAATATATGAACACAGAATATTTCTCTTGTTAAAATAATTAAATGAGAGGCATTGAGACTGAGGGAGCTTCAGTGCGCTCGGTTTCTACATAAACAAACTAAAACCCAACTTAGTTAGAATAGTAAAAGAAAACTTTAACCAATCAGAAACCACCAACTAACCTCTGACAAGGGACTGTCAACTGGAATGATTCGAATAAGGCTTTTACTCCACTTTAACCAATTAAATGTTTTATTTGCCGTTCTTCTATTTTCACCCTATAAAAGCCTTTTTTTCCCTCATGCCTCTTTGCCTGAGCCCCAGAAGACTTGTGACTTGGAGCCTGCCCTATTCTTAAATTGATACCTGCTCAAAAGAAAACTTTAAGATGTTTGTGTGCCTAAGTTTATTTTTTAACAGTTCTATTGTCAGAAGAGGGACCCAAGGAAGCCCTGATGGTGGTTCCTGGGACAATGAGTAACCAGATGGAGTTACCAGCTGAGCCCATTATACTCACTGCTTTCTCTCTGTGTCTGGATCCAACAGAAGCTCAACTGGGTTCAACAGAAGGTCTTAAGAAGGTAGGGTTTGGGGAAGACAAAGAATCATGAGTTCGTCCTTATCCAAGTAGTCTGGAACCTCTCCATCTGGGACTCTAGCTACGTTCATGTATAAAAATTATGAACCCAGAAGCTGTGTTTTTCTAAATAAATGTGTAAACTTTCCTAATGACAACTTAGAATTACGGTGGTCACAGTGAAGAAATTTTAACCTAAACAGTTATTCATCTATAAGCTACATTGAAAGAGAAGTGATCTTAAATGCCTCAGAAAAAAATGACATATGTTTTTAATTGGCATGCAGAGGCTTCTAAAAGACTAAGCAAATCAAAACTTGCCTTTCTTAAAGACTCTTTGCAAAAGGCAAATTAAAAGCTTAAGCACTTAATCAGTGATGATAAAAAATTGTACATGGACTCACTCAACTCTGAATACTCCTTCTTTTCCTCCTCTCTCTCTTCTTCCTCTGCCTAATTACTCTGATTCCACCAACCTCTTCACTCAGCTGCCTTTCTACTCTGAAGATGAGAAGAAAGTTAGGAAAATGCCTTCTAAAGTTAGGTCCTCAGATCAACTGTGTCTGCCTTCTTTAATTACCTTTATGTCTTGGTCAAAATCCGAACTGACGGAAATCGTGAAAGACTTCTCCAACTCAAAGGAAAACCACCAGGAATTTGCTGAGGAATTTAGAATCTTCATTTAAGCATATAATCCATGACTTCCTGATCTTTGTCAATTTATCCACATGATACTGGGACCTGGTCCAGCCTGCAAATGGAGGCGATGGCTGAATGGAACTAACCTGAGGATGATATTAAGGATCTTATGTCTCAGACAGCTGCAAGGGACAAACAAAAAAGAGGCAGGGGAAAAGGAAGCATTCTATAGTCTTATAAGTAAATCTCATCTTTACCTGGGCCTGTGTTCCTGCACTGTGACCGCCAAGAGAACTTTTTTTTTTTTTTTTTTAATCTCTATCACCAGGCTGGAGTATAGTGGCACGATCTAGGCTCACTGCAACCTCCTCCTCCTGGATTCATGATTCTTCTGCCTCAGCCTCCCAAGTAGCTGGGACTACAGGCGCATACCACCACATCTGGCTGATTTTTAATTTTTTTTAGTGGAGATGGGGATTCACCATATTGGGCAGGCTGGTCTTGAACTTCTGACCTTGTGATCCGCCCCCCTCGGCCACCCAAAGTGCTGGGGTTACAAGCGTGAGTCCCCATGCCCGGCTCACAAGAACTTCTTAGCTACCCCCATCCCTCAAGTGAGACAGGAAGGTCAGATGGGGCTGGAGTAGGGAAACGTCTTCCCTTCCAGGTGGGATACGGCTCTAGTAAAACCGTTTTTCCTGCAGAGGAGGAGGCTTTTGTTATGGGGAATCCTCTGGACGTGTTTCACAATATCACTCTTCACGTCTTTCAGAGCAACCAGGGCTTCCATTCTGGCTCTTCACCATGATAACCTTGGGGGCTTCCTGGATTTAAAACCCAGGATAGCAGGGGTTGAGAAGGGAGAGCTTTGACCATGGTCTCTAGTAGTTTTTCACTCTCCTAAATGTCCACGTTCAGCCTCCAGCAAGTTGTCAAAGTTACCGTATGTGTCCCTGCTAGTTTATGGTTTCAGAGCTTCCATTCCGGGTTAGCTCGTCTCAGCTGTGACTCCAGATTTCCAGGCAATGGGTTTGCCCTGAGACCTCAGTGGCCTAGTGGGTTCAAGAAAAGTCATTGATTTCTCCTTTTATTTGGCTTTCTTTTTTCTTTTTTTAAGAATTAAAGTAGTGACTTTCAGTCTTTTTACTTGTAGTTACCAAAACCAGAACTCTGAAATACTTTATACGGACTCAGCAAAAAAGCTTTTTTTTTTTTCTCCTGAGAAGATATAGGATTTCTTTTGAAGTTTGGTTATTCAGTCCCTGTATATGAATTCGTTTTTTTTTTTTTTTTTGGAGAGGTACTGAATATTTATTATCATCAGAATTTTTTAATTTTCTTCAGAATCCTGGTCACATAGATGACCTTGAATATTAGCTGATTTTTTCCCCTTGAGGCCCAACATCAAAAATTACTAAAGCCTAACATGTGGCAGGCTAGGAGGGTCCCATGGCTCCTGCACGTTTGTGCTTGCTGTGTGTCTGCTGTAGGGAGAGTATCCGACGGCCTCCACCTGCTGCATATATGTAACCTGCGGCAGGATTCCCATGGCTACCACTCTCGCCCTGACTGCTTCCAGTAAGTGAATGAGCACACTGTGGACTAGAGCTGGGCCATGTCTGCTGGTGTAGGACAGTCTTGCACTGGGGTTCCCCACTGGCAATGCTGAAATTTTCTGCACTGCAGTCTGAGGCTCCCCCGACTCCAAACCTTTTCACAGGTGTTAACTGACATCACCTTCTGAAGATTTTCCCTACTCAATCTTACTCCCTCCCCGCTCCATCTTTTCATTTTGAATTTTTATTTTATTTTTTTTCAGAGACAGGGTTTTGCTCTATTGCATACACTGGAGTGCAGTAGTGCCATCATAGCTTACTGCAACCTCGAACTTCTGGGCTCAAGAGACCCTCCTGCCTCAGCCTCCCAAATAGCTGGGACTACAGGGACACACCACCATCCCTGGCTAATTTTCTTGTTGTGTAGAGATGGGGTCTGTCTATGCTGTCCATGATGGACTCAAACCCCTGAGCTCAAATGATCCTCCTCCCTCGCTCAGCCTCCCAGAGTGCTGGGATTTACAGGTATGAGGCACTGCACCTGGCCCACCTTTATTTTTCACAGGCATTTCTCAGTAAATTTATTTCCTTTCTAATTCCTGTTGATATATGCTTCATGGAGCACCCAAACTGGCACAGTTTGTGATTTCTGATCTTCTATTCTATTCTATTACCCTGTAAGGAGACCTGGTTTTCTATCACATTCTCCCCTAAGTGAGAACTCTGGGGAAGACACACTGACTGCTAGATTTTGCTTAGGATGTACAAGCAACGTATTTCTGTCAGGTTTTGCTTAATCTGTGCTCTAGAATGAGGAGAGCTTAGTCAAGAATGTCAGCTTCCAAGATTGGATATTTTTGCTTTCTCTAAAACGTTTTATTTTATTTTAAGAGTTATATTTTGCCTGGGGTGGGGTTGGGGTTAAATCCAGGGAGCATATACCCGGGGTTGAGGGCAGGGCATATGCTCTCTGGAAGGTTAAAGAGGAAGGTTATGTTTTATTTGGAGCCATTGTTAGAAACACAGCATTCCTATAAATCGTCTCCTTTTAACCTCTCTTCTCACTCTTGTCCTCCTTTTCACCCAAGCCCTAAGTCAGCCTGATGCTCTGTGGTTACACATCCCACCCTTGGACAATGCCCACCATCAAGTATTCCTTGTTGTCACGTGTCATCCTCATCCTACACGCTTTCTATCACAGAAATGTGCTGGGACCCTCACGCATTTATGGCCTCCCCATGCTCCATGCCATTCTTCTCCTTGACATTGTGTGTTTCTTTGAATGTTTACTTCAGAGAGGTCTTGGGGGTGATGGACTTCGATTCCATTACCCACACCACCGTTTTAACAAGAATCTCCTGACTGAAACTTACTGAAACGGAAGAGAAAGTCGTCTCACCAGAATCGAGGGATGTCAAGGCTGGAAGGTATCTTAGAAATCATCTAATCCAATTCTTGCTTCAGAAATGATTCAAGGAAGCAAGTGAAGTGACTTGGACTTGACCTATGCTAATCCTGTCTCCCCACCCTCAACACTGCCCTGCTGACATTTCTGTAGCCCCAACACCCCGCGCCCCCGCCAAACACACACACTGTGCCTTGGTGAGTGTTCACCAAGGAACGCTGCCTTTTGATAAGCCTCAGTAATCAGGAGCAGGTACAGCCTCTGCCCATAAATACACCTGCCCCGCTCCTGCCTGGGGTGATTCCCTCCAACTTCCGTCTGCTTCTTGCCAGCGGCCCCAGCATTATGCAGAGACTTGTGCTGCTGTTAGCCATTTCTCTTCTATTCTATCAAGATCTTCCAGGTAAAAAGAGACTCTCAGCTGGAAATGTATACAGTTGCTGGGGATGACAGGTGGAGAAGAAAAACATTTGATTTAGAAAATAAATCCTGAAGGATGGAATAACCTTATTCAATCCCAGCCCTTTTCTCTTTGTTTTCATTGGGTCCATTAGTAAAATGCAGTACGTGGCAGTCCTTGTATGCACCTTACAGCCACAAGGCTTACTAGCTCAAGGAGGAAAAAAGAAACGTAGGGATCAGGAGTCCTGGATGTCATTGGCCCCCTGGCCACACACGGTAACAATTCCTCATGGAGTCCTCAGCAATGAGGACTTACTAGCCATGCTTGTTCCATTGCAGGTCAGAGGTAATTATTCATTGTTGATTTTGTAGAATAAGATGCCTTCCCCCATCCTCTTCCTTCTGAACAGCTTTACTCTACACAGAATGGATGCCTACTCATCCTCCTAAATTTTGCAACTTTTCATATGAAGTCAGATGATTAGGATTAAAGGGAATGCAGTGATTTTAGTAGGCAAGAATATAAATTACTGACAACACAAATAGCAGGTGCCTTTGAACTCTGCTAAGCAAATTTTAAAGTTAGACTAAGAGGTCAGAAATCTTCTGACTCCTACGTTATTCTATGTCCCTAGAAGCATATATTTCTTATCTATTTGGAATGGATATGAGAGAGCACATAATCTAATCTTACAAGCTGAGCAACATTCTTTTTTTTTTTCTTTTGAGACAGAGTCTCAAAATGTTGCTCAGTTTCTTTTACAAGCTGAGCAATATTCTCTATAGTACAGTGAGAGAAAATAAGATTTTTAGAGTTGCTTAATAAGACTAGCAGTGCTGGGACGAAACCAATTGTTTTGACTCATAAAGGCCATCGGATCTTCTCTTCCAAGCTGCTCAGTCAATTTTGTGGGGCTTTGACAGACACTCAGCACCCATCTTTTTCCCCTTCCAGGCTGTGCCTCTGCTGTGATTCAGATGGGTTAATGATTTTTTTCAGAGGGTACCTGTTTAGGTTAACTCTTCCTTGTTCTTTCTTCCCGTGTCATTTCCCAAAGACACTTCTGTGAAATTCTGCTATGAGCATGTTCCAGGTCTGTCAAAATATGGTAGCAATTTATCAAAGAACAGGTTTTCTTCAACCTGTGATCCCAAGACAAAGAACATCTTGGGATGGAAAGCCTGGGTCAGGGATCCCTCCAGATCCCCAAGAATGCACCACAGAGCTGGCTGCCATTACCTGCACTGAACTGCTGAGGACTGGGTCAGACTGGTCTCTGTAGTCTAATTCTGAGAAAGACCCTTAGCAGGAAGAGGATTTGGGAGGGAAGTGGCAGAAGTGGGTGAGGTTGAATGACATGCGCTGCCCGCCTCCTCTCCTGCCACCCCTACTTTGGGTAAGTTTGGCTGTCACACACTGTCAACCCCTCAGATACCCACAAGGACTGGGGATGGGGGCTGTAAACCAAAAATAAAATTCTAACCCCACTTCCCAACCATCCAAATGGACTCTCTCCTCAGCCAGGGCTCTTAAAATTTTATCTGGTTAATTTATTCTGGTTAAATTTAATCTGGTTCAGGCCATGAAAGGAAGTGGGGGTCAGACATGCCTCATGATACTTTCCAGCATGAACATCAACACAGACTTTAAGTCTGATAAGAAACATTTTACAGCCTATTCTCTCTGAAGCCTGCTAGCTAAAAGCTTCAACTGCATGATACAACTTTGGTCTCCACAACACAATCTCTTGTCGCAACCCAAACATTCCTGTCTATTGATCCCAGGTCTTTAGACAAACTCAATCGTCAACCAGAAAATGTTTAAATTTACCTATAGCCTGGAAGGCCCCCGGCCACACCCTCCCACTGTACCGCTGCAGGCCCCCCTAACCGCCCCCCACTTTGAATTCCCACCTTTCTGGACCAAACCAATGTAAATCAGCCAGGTGTAGTGGCTCATGCCTATAATCTCAGCATTTCGTGAGGCTGAGGTCTGCGGATCTCTTAAGGTCAGGAGTTCGAGACTGGCCTGGCCAACACAGTGAAACCCTGTCTCTACTAAAAATACAAAAATTAGCTGGGTATGGTGGCGCATGTCTGTAATTCCAGCTACTTGGGAGGCTGAGGCAGGAGAATCGCTTGAATCCGAGAGGTGGAGGTTGCGGTGAGCTGAGATCATGCCATTGCACTTTACCCTGGAAGACAGAGCGAGACTCTGTCTCAAAAAAAAAAAAAAAAAAAAAAATTAAATCTTACATGTATTGGTTGATGTATTATGTCTCCCTAAAATGTATAAAAGCAAGCAAACTATATCAAAACCACCTTGGGCACATGTCCTCAGGACCTCCTGAGGTTGTGTCACAGGTGTGCTCTCAACCTTGACAAAATAAACTTCTACATTAACTAAGATCTGAGACCTGTCTAGGAGTTTCTGGATCTATAGAGCAGAGAAGGAAAATTGCTTATGCAAGAAAGAAACTAGTGTAGTGTAGACTACCCTGGAATGTATTTATTGCTTAGGATGTATTTATTTTTCAGCCTCAGTGTATGGACTGTATTCTCCCTTTCGCATTCTGTTTACTCAGACTATAAGACACACCCACTGGGTTTTTGTTCCAGCTTTGACATATAAGTTGCTGTGTGACCTCAGTTTAGTCACTTTCCTTCTCTGAGCCTTAATTCCCATCTCTGAATAGATGGCCTGTGAGGGCTCGCTTGAAACTGACAGTCTAACATTTTAAAGGTTGTATTCTCTTCCTAGTCTATTCTTCTTCTCCCTTAATGCTAAGCTTTGTTTTCCCTGAGCAAGCATGTTGTCCTTCTTTTCCTCCTATAACTACAGGTTGTAAAGTGGCCTGCCACAGATAGGTCAGAAGGCACATATCTGCTGCCCAACCTCCACACTCGCTCAGCATGACACACATCGCAGCCCACCTCCCTCCTTTCTTCATTGCCTTGTACTGTGACCACAAGGGCTTGCTTTTGAATGAAGGTTACAGCAAAACAGTCTTTCCTCGTCACCCACTGTGGGGCCATTCCAAATATAAACCCGTTCAATATCCTATCAAACACAAGAATTGGTCGAACTTCCTTTTAGTCCCCACCCACATCCTGGACAAAGAATCTTGACACCTAAGCATCAGAAACAGGAGGCTTCTCTTTACCGGAACGAGGGAAAGACATAAAACCCTGGTGTGAGGATTAGCAGCCCGTTTCAGTTCTCCTGCCCCGCTGCTTTGTGGAAAATGAACAGATGCAACAGGGGAGAAGGACTCAGGGCTCAAGTGAAATTAGGACCCTTGGGCCCCGACCTCTGCAAAGAGGTCCACTTGCAGCTCTGACTCTCCTCTCCTCGGGGTTCCTCTGACACCCTCCCCCAAGCCTGGCTCCTGCTGAGTTTGCTAGAGAACCTCATGCAAAGCCCTCTCCAGCGAGGCTCTCTCCGTCCACCTTACACTGTCCTCCCTACCATCAGCCTTGCTTCTGGCTTTTCCTGATATCTCTGTGAGATCCTATCAGTGTGGCATGTGAGATAATGAGCTTTACAAAGCTGCTTTTAGCCTCAGAGAGCACACCCTGAGACTGAGAAACTAAATCCATGTCTCCTGAAAACTGCTCTGGGCCAAGGGCCAAACAATCCGGATTCTGCTCCTTTCTAGTTTCCTCCACTCTACTTGCATCCACTCTAGTTTCCTCCTGTCTAGTCTATCCAATCATTCACTCACCAGGTCCTTACTGAAAACAGGCTATGCTCCCGGTACCAGTTACACAATGGTAAGCAACATAAATAAACATGGGCCCCATTGTCGGGAGGTCGTAGTTCCATTGAGAATACCAAATAATAAAATATACATACATATACACATATCTATATCTATATTTAGGTATGTATGTATCTCTCTCTTTCCCTCTCTATATATGTATCTATCTCTCTCTATATATATAGATACATAGATATATAGCTACAACTTGTGATAAGTAATATAAAAGACTAACAAATACATAGGGAGAAAAATAGTTTTGGGGCATTTAAATACATGAAAAGACAGAGAAAGATATGCCCAATATTGGGATCTTAAGGTTGAGATATAAAAGTTCAAAGAATCCACGTATGGGAAGAAAAACCTTCCAGGCAGAGGGGACAGTGCACGTGAAGGTACTAGGATAGCAAAGAGTTAGCTCACACGGAACAGAAGGGAGGCTGGCGAGGGTATCATGGACAGAGTGAGGGCCACAGTGGAATAGCATGAGTTTGAAAAAGTGGCCCAAGATCAGATCATGATTGCTTTGGAGACCCAGTAAGAGGCTTGGTGAGATTTAATCAAAAAACAATAGTAAACTGTTGTAGGGATTTTGAAAATAGGTGTGGCATGGACTGATGTGTATTTTCAAATACATTGGGAATCAGAGGGTCAAGTCGATCGTGTAGAAAAGTGGAGGAGGATGGGGGTGCAGGAAAACCTCCACCACCATGCACTAACATTCTCTATCCCCCTCCGAAAACACCTTCTGCCAAAGCCTTGCCTTTTGGTGCCAGTGCGCAATTAATCACAGTGCCATATCCTGTTATCTAGTGAGAAGTGAATTTGAATTGGACAGAATATGTGGTTATGGGACTGCCCGCTGCCGGAACAAATGTCGAAGTCAAGAATACAAAATTGGAAGATGTCCCAACTCCTATGCATGCTGTTTGAGAAAATGGGATGAGAGCTTACTGAATCGTACAAAACCCTGAAACGCAGTAGTGCTGGTCCCTAGAGTCGCTGGAAGCAGGACCTCAGTAGCTTTCCTTCCTGTGGCCTTGCAGCAAGGGCATCCCCATTGCAACCACGGATTCAGTTATCAAACAAGGTTTGCTGAGCTTCCACTCAATGCAAAGCCAATATAGGAGATTGAAGAAGAATACAGCCTGGAAAGCCCCTCTGGTTGTGATAATGGAGAATAGTAATGGAGGTTAATCATGAGTTTCAACACTGCATAAGTCGAACCAAAAATATGTCTACCTAATCAGCTATAAACTGAAGAAAAACATCATTTTTATTCTGATAATGCTGGTTTTCTTTTCTGATCAAAAGTTTTGCTCAGAAGTTGTATATGTCTTTTGTTAATTAAAATGGAAAGTAAATCAATGTTAAGTGTGCCTTGTTTAGAATACACTGTATTTCAAAACATAGACCTCTGAGGAGAAAAACAAAAGAAGTGATGTGTAATGACAAGCTTGGGAACCCACTGGAACTTAAGGGATTGATCAAGTGGGTGTCTGTGGAGAGTCCCATGCAGCAGAGGGCAGCAGAGAGCAGCCCTGCGCTGAGCTGTGGATTCTTGATCCTGAAAACTGGTAAAGAAACGGGACTGATGAACATTTGGCCTGCCTGCCTTTCTTGTCCAAACCAAATTTTAAGGTAGTCAAAAGCTTCTCTCCTCAAAAGTAGTTCAGCTGACAAATGAGGAGTGTCACCATTTTGCAAACACATAGGGAGACAGGGATCTAGCCAAGGAATGTCAACAGCAATTAAAATAAGCCAGAAAGACAACCTGCTACCCTGGGCTTCCTAATAGAAGGACATAATGCCATGTATGAGCTGCTAGTCATGGTAAGCGGCATCATCCTCACCTTTTCAGGGTGGAAACTGAGGCTGGATTGTGCCCTTTCTGCCAAAACCGTGTAATGGTCCTTCACATAGCCATCTCTCAGCCTCAACATGTGGTTAGTCTTATTTCATCCCTTAATAAGACCCTCTCCTAGATTATCTCAAATAAAAATAAATTATTTCAAAGATGCCCTTTTGAAAATACTTCAGAAGGTGCAACTCAGGGGGGAAACAACTCATTTTGTAAAATAGAACCCCAATACTATTATCACCCCGGGAAAAAAATCAACACTTGTTCCTTAATACAATTTAATAGTCAATCTGTATTCAAATGACCCTGAGCATGTCATAAGTGCCTTTTAAAGAATTGCTCTATTAGCATCCGGGAAGGTCCACATACTGCCTCAGGTTGTTTACCTCCAAGGCCTCTTGCATAGATGGTGATGTGTGCTTCTATTCCATCTATAAAATACTGTGCTGAAAATTGAGTGTATATCTGGGCAAGCCCCTAGATCTCATCACTGCAATTACAGGAAAAGAAGAAACTACTGAACCACCACTAAGGATGCCACATTCCAAATGCAACATACAGAACACGCTATAAGACAATGTGACATTTATTTTATTCTTATATTGTTTTAGACCCTTTTCATTATTCTCATATTTCATATTTTATAAAATACTTCTAACACATAATCTCCTTTGATCCTCACCATAAACTCTTGAATTAGGCATGGTAAGTGTCATCATCCTCACCTTTTAGGCATTGTTACTACGGTTCAGAGGGACTAGTGTTTTCCTAACATTGGCCAGGATATTACGCAAGACCAGGCCTAGACACCACATCTCAAGTGCAATTCAGAGGCAGCACAGCATGACATGTGCAAATACACAAAGCCTGGAATCCCAGCTCTACTGCTCAGCAGGTCACCTTGGGAAGGTGACTTATCTGACTTGTACCTTGATTTCCCCTCCTGCCATATGGCCATTTTGCCCAACAACACTTACAAACACAGACCCAACTGCTGACCCTGTGCTAAAATTATTTTTTGCCTCCTTTTAGAATTTAATTTGATGCCTTGCCAAGAGAGGCCATCTTGCACTTCCCAGTGTAAATATAGAGCAAAGCAAGGGACTTCTACAGACTTTAATCAGCGCCACCAGCCGTGGTGGCCAGAGAGACAATAACAAGCAGAAAGCAAGGCTATCTCATTGTCATTGATGACTTGTATCGTGGTCTTCTCTGAAGAGCCCTGGGTTTGGCTTGCCGTCCTGGTGTCCTGTTGTTTTGCTTTCTAAAGAGGCTGGATTCTGAAACAGCGCCCCCTCCCACCCCCAAGTGTAATTCACATAGTCGTATTAATGAACTACTATCCTCAGCACTTAAGGACATCACAAAGTCACACTACTTTAATTTCAGGGCTTTACAGTGAAAGGACAAAGATAGATTGTTCTATTTTATTGTTTCCAGAATTGGCAGGAAATATTTAATAATTTGGACTTGATGCACTACAAACACAACCAGAAACCCAATAACATCGCTACTTATCTTCTATCTCCAAAGGATGGATACAGATCTGAAGTCTGTAGTTCACAATGAATGATCAGTAACCCTTTGAAATGTGCCTAATGAAAATCTACAGAAGAAAGGATTGTTTGGATATTTTTCACTTTATAATTTATGCATTTTTTATTATTTGAAGTTGAGAGAGAGACAGAGATTGACAGAGAAAATCTCTGGGTGAGCAAATCCACCAGCCAGGTCCTTATTAAAATATCCAAAAGTGCAGAACTTGAAATTTTCAACATTCAGTAGTTAAGATTTTCAACAGTGGCACATTCTCTTTCTTGCCTCCCAAGAGACATCCCATTAAATCCTGGGAAATATGACTATGAAAAGGGGAAACATATTGCAGCCAAGTTTGTGCTCAGAAGTTGCTATAGAATCAACCTTCTCTTGCATTACCACATGACCCAAAGAAAATTAGCCTGGAGGAGTCTCACAGATGAGTGAAGCAGAGATTCCTATGTAGATTTTCTTATTCCTGAATTTTAGATTGTGATACGTCCACAAGGACTGCTGGGACCACCTCAGTTTCATAGGCACAGAGGGCCCTGTGGGTAAAAGAAGGTGGGGTCCTGAGTCTTCCCAACATGACAAAGTCAAAGGCAGACACATGGTGAGTGGCAGAGCTGCCTTTGTGCCTGAATCCGAGAGAAAAAAATTGTCAACCTCTGAGGACTGGGAAGGGGCTGAAATGCTTTCCAGTTGTGAGAAATTACACACAAAAAAATAAAACATCATGGAGAAAAGATACCATTCCAGTGAAAAACTACATTTCTTCTTATGTCTGTGACCACCATGAACTCCTGCTCTTCCCCAAACAAATTTGCTGCCTTTCCCTTTAACCTTGAGCACACCTTTGTTTATTTATGTGGACTCCATTCTGTTAATAGTGTCTGCAGTGCATAGCCTGCTCCAGATCGTTAGTCTTTAATTCACACATATAGACACATTGCTTTTTCACTCATCCCCCATTTCCTCCTCTTAAAATATTGGTTAGGTATCTCAGACAGTTTTCAGTTCTAAAATGTTACGATTGTTTTGTCAGAATTGGCAACCTCAGCCCGGTGGGGTGGCTCACGCCTGTAATCCCAGCACTTTGGGAGTCAGAGGCGGGAGGATCACTTGAAGTCATGAGTTCAAGACCAGCCTGGCCAACATGGTGAAACCCGGATCTCTACTAAAAATACAAAAATTAGCTGGGCGCGGTGGCAGGCACCTGTAGCCCCAGCTACTCAGGAGGCTGAGGCAGGAGAGTAACTTGAACCCAGGAGGCGGAGGTTGCAGTGAGCCGAGATCACGCCACTGCACTCCAGCCTGGGCAACAGAATGAGACCCCATCTCAAAAAAAAAAAAAAAAAAAAGAATACTATTTATTATTTGAATTGACCGGAAAAAATCTTGAAACAATTATTAGAATACTCTATAATGGGTTCTGCCATCCTCCCCCTCAGGATGGATGTGGCTTTTAGCAGGAGAATTATTCAAAGATTTTTTTAGGACACAGAAATATGGCAGAAGAGGACAGGAGCTGAGAGCACTGTTGTGTTAGGAGAGATGTAACATTAATTACCATTGTTACAATTTCACCAGCTTTTGCCTGTCAAAGAGCAGAAGTAGGTTTTCCCCTGCTGCTCTTTTTAAAATTGTTCTTTTTAGAAACATGGGAGAGGGAGCTTATTTTATCTCAAGACCTAGACAAAGGAAGTGAGATCTAACTATTTTTGGCTCAGTTTCTTCATTTAAATCAGATCAAATAATTTTAATGACTTAGAAGAAGATTCCATTACCTGGGTGGTAATTACTCAAATGCTGTTATATTTTAAGTCATGATTTTGATTAATGATTCATTACTATTAATATCTGAATAGTGGACTAGGCTCTTTTTTTTCCTTTCCTTTTATAGAGAAGATAAAAATATGTAGAAATAAATTACCAATATACTCCAAAATTTCGATCACTTTTATAAAAGATCCACATTCCAAGTTTAAATAATTACAAATACAACTGTAAGAAATTGCTATTGAACTAGAGTATAAAAAATACCCAGAGTACATAGATGAGCGAATAAATCTTTGTTTAGGGTTGAGGTAGCAGCAGCTGTCTACCTCGTTTCTTGACCATCTATGTTCTTCCAACATCCAATTGTCAGAATTTGATGCAGTAAGTGATTAAAGAAACTTATCATGGGCCAGTTGTCCCCGGTCTCCGCAATGTCCCCTTGTGCTCCTGGAATTGGAAGACTTCCTAATTCCTTAAAGTGAAAGGATGTGAATGATGCTCCTGCTCTCCCTGACCAGCACCTCGTGCTTTGCAGTGGAGAATCTGTCCTGAGACCCGAAAGATAGTGGCCTCCGCATTGTGCTGCCAGGGCAGCTGCTGTGCGCACTTGTCCGCAGCTGCAAACCTTCTGTCCTTCGTTGGTGCTTCCCCGGATGCCCAGGTCTCTATTGTCATTGCTGCCTCTTTCTCCATTTGCTTACAGCTTTCTCCAGGTAGAGAATAAGTATTTTTATTTACACAAATGACCTAAGTTGTTTTCTCTGTCTGGATTAAAATGCACATGCAAATGAGACATATGAGAAAAGTACTACCTTTTCCAGATATCGCTGATGTTATATTGGATATTAGGTGAATACAAAACTCTTCAACCAAAGCCTTCATCCCTTTAGTTAAGTCCAGAGCAGCCTGTCTGGGTTACATGTATGTCTGAGCTCATGCAGCCAAATAAGAAACACACACTTGGTTAAAATGTTTAAAGAGATGAAGGAGAAGGGAAGACAAGCCCTCTGCTTGGATATTACAAGAGGAGAAAACCAAGGCTCAAACACAGATTTTTTTTTAAAGAATTGAATTGGACCCAGTGACATCAACAGGAGGTGTCTGGGGGTAAAGAGAATGGAAAGGGGAGAAAAAAATCAAGACAACTCAAATTTAAGTTAAAATAGAAAGGAAGGGGGTCCAAAGCGAGGAAGGAGAAGTGGAGGGGACCAAGAAACGGGAGACAGACTCAGGGAGGAGAAGAACAAGAAAATAACATTTTGAGCAGCCTTGGAACTCTCTGTATAACTTCAGGAAGGGAGAGTTTGTAAAACCAGGTCCTACTGGTTTTGTTGTATGTCTTATGCATGATTTTTAATACTAAAATAAAAACGTTTGGCAGACAGGATAGAATCAACATGGCAGTTTATTTATGTCCCTGTTCTCATGAACATCAGGGGGCTTTTGAGAAGCATTTGAGAACATTGGCAATTTTATGTTAATTCATGTTTGTTCTGCCCCTCCATGCCTTAATCTTTCTGTTACTCTCTCTCTGTTCTTCCTTACTCTCTCTCTGTTCTTCATTACTCTCTCTCTGTTCTTCCTTATTCACCAAACCCATCCAAGGCATTCAGGCATATTAATTACTTCCTGAAATACGTGACTCAAGTGTTTGTTCCACCAGCAGTGGGATAGTAGCACGTCCACATTGTCCTTTGAGAATGAGAAGTCATTCTGGGGCACCGCTCTTCCCACGCTCCGGGCCCACACACACAGCTCCACTCCATCAAAGGAGCCCCGCTGCCTGCCCACCCACCCGGGGTGCTTTCTGGCTTGCAGTCCTCTTGGCAGACATGAGGCAACGATTGCTCCCGTTCTTCACCAGCCTTCTCCTTGTGGCTCTGCTGTTTCCAGGTAAAATGGAAAGGTGACCCAGGCATGGGTGCTAGAATCTCTCTGCAATGGTCATCTGGGGTATGGGAGTTCAGGCTGGGCAGGGAGAGATGCAGTCCTGGGAGCACACATTCCTGGTGGAGCTTCGGGTCTCTGAACTGGGTTCATCAATGGCACTCTGAATTGGCTGATGGCACTTGCTTCCCAGGGGAGAGGGTCCCACCCCGACTCCATTTTCTTATCCTTTTAACATTCCCCTTTCCCTTACAGAGAAGAATATTAATTTTAGGGAATCTTAACAGCTGCATTAGTGACGCTTGAAATACATTCTCTGGCTGCACTGGCTTTGAGGTGCTCAGACTCACTGTTCATGGCATACATTTCTTACACGTCATTCACCTTCTCTCTCTACACACAGGCGCATACAACACATGTGCACAAATGTGCACACACATGGAATACTAGCATCCCTCCCAACTCCCCCACCCAGTCACCCACACTCACTCACCTGGTAGAGCGTAGGTACCTCATGCTGACGGGTCTTCCAGGAGGAGGCCTCAGAGCATCCTCAGCCATGTGTTTCCACTTGCACAGGATTGTCCCAAGCCAGACATGTTAACCACTCAGCCACCGAGGCTCTCAGAGAACTCCGGGAAGGAGCCACTGGGCAAGGCACAAACGGGTCTCAGCTGCTACGCCACCCAGGGAAACGGGCCCCCATAATACGGCGCATCCCCTATTACCCAGGTGAGTCGGGGACCAACACGGGAAACAAGTGCATCCACTGGGGAGATGTAAAGGGAACAAATAGATGGGAAGGTGTCTGTGCTGGTCAGGTGGGTGAGCAGTCATTGTTTGAGGAAGACATGGTGTGGGTGCGTTGGGCTGCCCTGCCTGTCAGGGAGGCCCTGGGGTCTCACAGCTTCCCCTGGGGCTGGATCACTGAGGGCCTCGTGGAACATGGAAGTTTTGAGGGTCCAAAAGGCAAATTATCTGAGGCCACGTCTAATTGCTGACTTCCTCCAAGAACAGGAGCCAGAGGAGACGCTGGTGGAAACGTGGCTTCCTGCCAGGTTGCAACCCCATGCCATTAGCTTTGGAGGTCGTTCCACCCTACAGGAATTTACTGAATACCTGCTAAGTGCCAGGTGTCCATTGCAGTCTGGAAAATGCTTCCCGAGGATGGGGGCAGAGAATAGACTGTATTATCAGTCTACTTAGGCGAGGAAGTAGCAGGAAATTTCAAGGGGCAATTGAGTCCACAGCCACCCATCTGGACTCTTCCAGAAGGGCCAGGCTTCTGGTCAACCCCCAAACCCCTGGACAGGACCAGCTACAAATCCAGAAGGGCCTGGAGGAGCCTGTAGTTTCCAAGATGCTTCTTTAATCCCAAGCTCATTGCTGATCGTAAGACAGGGAGAACTAGGTTAGCAGCTCAGTGAGCAAGAGTAAGAAAGACAGGAGTGTGTCGGCAAATTGCTGTGACATCCAGCAAATAATGTCCTGCTAATATTGACACCTGCAGTATCCTACCTAACCTCCCATCCCTTTCTAATTGGCCCTCAGTTCCAAAGGACTCATTCATCTGGATCTCCTCCCAAGGGAAGGGAAAAAGAAAACTCAATTGTTGCACAACAAATATAAACAGGTGCAATAGTAGGCATGTGTTATTTAGTCTAACGGTATTCCTATGAGACAGGATTATTCCTTCCTTTGGTTAGAGGAGATTTAGCAGGGAAGAGCTATACATCTGGAGCTGATGTTTTAGTTTGGAACTTGAAGCTATTAACTATGGACAGCTGTTTCATATCCATGCCACCCCGCCCTGTCCCTCAGGGCTGTAATGACCACAGTTTGATTCTGGAGATGGTCTTAAGAAGCTAATGTTGGATTTTTTTTTTTTTTTTAATGCAGAAGTTGAATCAGATTTAAGAATTGTCGACTGCAAGAGAAGTGAAGGCTTCTGTCAAGAATACTGTAATTATCTGGAAACGCAAGTAGGCTACTGTTCGAAAAAGAAAGACGCGTGCTGTTTACATTAAAACCGATGTCGCTGGTATAGAAACAAAGCTCTGCCACTTACCGGTTCTCCTGGGCCACGTTGTCCAATCAGGTGCAGGTTTTTTGCGGAAGTGCCTGAGCAGCGGGGAGCGGAGGTATTGCCACTTGTGCCAGACAGTTCAAGTATTTTATTGTGGCAAAATAAAACACAAAAATGCTACCCGTGATCTTAAAGAAGATGATATAGCTTGACACAAACAGAATTTTCAAAATCACACAAGTTGTCAATTTGTGCTAGTAAATGTGGATATAATAAACTTTCATTGGAAAGAATTCAAATAATTTGTTCTTTTATTTTAAAAACTATTTTTTGAATACCTACTTCTATTCTAGGTTCTGTGCAATGGAGTCCATTCTGTTCTAAGTACTGTGGAATGTAGTCAGGATGTTAGGTTTGTGGTCAAACCCATTCTCCGTCAGCCCCATCAGCAACTATGCGCAGGCCGGTTCAAAGCCCTGTTCTCTAGCAGCGGCTGAGAGCGTGCAGGCAAATGCCTTCTGGGGAGAGACTGGGAGCTGGGAGTTACGGCCTGTTCTCTTTGTGCTAAAGCTGGAAGAATACCCACTGGAAGTCCTCTTGTGCTCCTTTAAAACTACCCGTTTGTTTTTCGTGGCCTTAGAAGACACAAAACGCAGAGCCCCATCTATGAACCGATGGTGCTGTGCATTTCCAGGCTTTTGGTGTCCTGAACAAAGAACTGGATGTGATACTCAAAGAGCAAAGCAAGCAGCAAAAGTGTGTGAAGCCCAGTATTACACTCCCGGAGAGGGGAGAGTGGGCTGACTTCTGCCAAATGGGATCAGCATGACTTCGGTGTACTTGGGTCTTTTTTTGTGTTTTTTTTCCTTCTGTTCCCAAGGCCTTATCTTTAGGCGGTGCTTGCCTTTTGATTGATAGGTGTGTTGCTTAGTTACTTTAGCCTCTGCGGGCTTGTGTGTTGTCTCCAGCCTATAATTTTAAGTACATGCATGATATGCAATCCATATGCATACGCTTTAATGAGCTGATTATCATACGGGGTCCTGTTAAGGATACTTTTTCTCTTTAATGCGCATGCCTGTCTCTGAAGAGCTGCCACTTCCTGGTTTGGTCTGGATCTTGCTGGCCATGGGGTCCTTGCTCTCTTCTTTATCTTACTTTTTGTTTTGGCTGCTTCACTTCTGCCTCTTATATTGCTTCTTGCTCACCCACCCCTTCACCTTGCTTCTGTTTCTGCTTTTATTCATTCTGCCCTTTATCCAACTTCCAGTTTCCTCTGCAATTCTCCTGCCTCACATTCACTTACAGAGATAAGTGATTTAGGAGCCAGTCCCCCAGGTGGCAGCTATAAAACTATGCTTGATGTATTCTCCTTCTAGGGAGAAGTTGGAGACCTGGATTTTTTGCTGGAGCTAGTGGGGAAGAGCAGGCACAGTGCCTATCTATATCTCTGTTCAGGCTCCCACAGGTCTACTGTTTACCCTGCCCCTTTGGCTCCCAGATGCAGACCCAGAAGTCAACCCTCAGGCAGCAGATGGGAAAATGGGTAGATAAAGCCCTTGCAGGTAGAAACCGGGAGGTGGGCATTTGCCTGCCTGCTCTGGCCCGAGCCCAGGGAGACAGCTGCCAAAAGTGCTTGCAAATCTGTGTCCAACCATCTCTTTGGCATCTGTGGTTTAGGGAGACCTGCAGATGCCAGATCTATCAACCCCAGGCTGGGCGATTTAGGAGCCAAATCCCTGGGTGGGAAGCATAAAGGTCAGGGTACTGTATGTGTGGTCCAAAGCCTTCCCTCTTCAGGGAGAAGCTAGGAGTTGGGACTTCCTTACCGGTTGATTGTAAGGTGCTATGCCTGGGATAGGGATTGTGCTGGGAGTGTGCCTCAGCTCTTCCCACCTCTTTTCACATGAATATTTTCTCAGTTGCTTGATGTGTAGTAGTCTTTCAACTAGTCTTTGGCTTTCTCTCAGAAAGAACTGATCTGTGTGTTGCTATTTCTTTGGTGTATCTGTGGAAGGAAGGAAAGGCTGGAGCCTCTGATGCCACCATCTTGCAGATGTCAGTCTGGCACACCCTTGATTACTGTGTAGTTGAGCATTTTTTCATTTCTTTATTGATCATTTTTTCTCTTCTGTAAAATTTAATAATTTATTGGGTTACACTTTATTTATTTTTATTTATTTTTATTTTTGGATGGAGTTTCACTCTTATTGCCCAGGCTGGAGTGCAATGGCACTATTTCAGCTCACCGAAACCTCCGCCTCCTGGGTTCAAGCAATTCTCCTGCCTCAGCCTACTTAAGTGGCTGGGATTACAGGTGTGCACCACCACACCCAGCTAATTTTGTATTTCTAGTAGAGATGGGGTTTCTCCATGTTGCAGGCGGGTCTTGAACTCCTGACCTCAGGTGATCCGCCCACCTCAGCCTCCCAAAATGCTGGGATTACAGGCGTGAACCACTGTGCCCGGCCCGGTTACTACTTTATTCTTATCCATGTATATGTGCTCCTTTTATATCTAACCTTACATATTATTTCCTCCATCAATTATCTTCCTTTTCTCTGGAATGCATCCTGTTTAAACCCCAGTTATCCTTGAAATATCCTTTCATTATCTTTCAACCATAATTTTCATGTTTTTCCCTTTTGTTCTCTACTTTGCAGATATTTATTTTTATATCAGTTTCTCTTCCTGTAGAGCCCTTCTATTTTTTTTTACTATTTTTGGATTTTGAGGTTCAGTTATTAGATTTTTATTTATTGTTAAAGAGTCTTACATTTGCAAATAGTCTTTTTCTTTCTCAACGTGTGGCTTTCTCATGGGACCTAATTCTCATTTTGCTGACCATAGTTTCTCAAATCTCATTAGGAATACACATTGATTTTTTAAAAACTGCATTTTTCCATTGACATAGCACATATTCCAGTTCAGTTAAGTCTCTTCCAGTTTTTAAAAGTGTTGATTTCACTTCTGCTAGTTTTACACTGACTGCTAACATCTACTTGCTCAAGCAGACCAGCTGTGGAGGATTGCTTTGGTAGGGTAGGCTTGAGAGGTGGCAAAGAATCAATGTGGGTAGAATCTGCTGTTTGTCTTAAAATTTTCTGTAGAGTATCTCTACTTAAAAGAAGTTTCATGGATATCTTTAATAAATACATAGGGAAGAAATAATGATATTTGCCTAACCTGTCCATAAAATCTTCATCAGTGGTAATTACTTAAAACTCAAGTTAATTAATAATAAACTGCATATCACAAAACTTTGAGCTCATTATTCTCTTTGCAGCTTTCTTTAATTCCCATAAATTAAAAATTCCTGCAAATATTGTTATTTATGAGGTTGCTACAAAACTAATTGCAGTTTTTGCCATTGAAAATAATGGTCAAAAACTGCAATTAGTTTTGCACCAACCTAAATACAAGTATCTGGGTAACAATCAGGATCCCGGGGCTCAGCATAGGAAAAAGCAAGGCACACAGAGCCCTTTACAGAATGCCACCTTTCCAGGCTTCTTTTCTGAACAAAGCTGTTCCTTAATCAACTTACATATGGGCACACTCACATAGGGCTGACACCCGGCGATAATGAAGGTATGTGAAACTAGTACTTACATACGAAGCCGGAAGCAGTGGTAATTTAAATAACCTCTTCGTAAAGCAATCTTAATATGTATGTAAGACATAAAATACTTATTCCCATTGTTTCAGTTATTCTGCTCAGAAATTATCCTAGGAAATAAAAAAAAAAAAAGAGAAATCCAAAAAACTCTAAAATATTCCAAATAGAGCGCTGTATCAGCAAAGTATAATACATCTACTCAGAGATATTACATATTCCTTAGGTATCATAAATATAACACAGTGAAAAACCATGAAAATGCATAACATTTTCAAAATACGTATCTGTCCTAAAAATTATGATACCAATGTTCACATATTTGATATAAAATTAACTGTAAGAAGTATGTTCAAAAACAATAAAGTTTCTAATCTTAAAATTGTTGGCGACTTTTAGACATTTATACCTTTAAAAATACCATCAAGTTATTGAATTACTCTTAAAATTTAAATATACATTTGTAAGAACAAAATTAATGTGCCTAAAAATAAATATATATGTATTTACAAATATATCCCTTAATTATAGGCAAAGACATTCTGTTGTAGACTCAAGTTGCACCCAGAAACTCACAGATTTAACAGAAGAAAGCACTTCCTGGGCAGTAAGATGATAAGACTCCTTGTTTGTATAGTGATGAGTAAAAAATAAATAAAAAAATTTTTTAAAGATGATATGACATTAAAGCATGTTACCCAGAGAGATTTTGGAGCCTATCTGGGATTCATAAAAAACAGGTAGAAACTGATTTTATTTTCCTCTCATTCTTTGGTATTATAATATTTGCAGTGCTGGGTTGGGGACAAGGGGAGGGAGAGCATTAGGATAAATACCTAATGCATGCGGGGATTAGAACATAGATGACAGGTTGATAGATGCAGCAAACCACCATGGCACGTGCATATCTATGTAACAAACTTGCACGTTCTGCACATGTATCCCAGAATTTAAAGTAAAATAAAATAAAAATAAATAAAAATTACAGTCATTAAAAAAATAATTTGCCATCCTGCTTGGAGACAACTGAATAAATATAATGGGTTCTCAAGGTCAGTCCTGAGTCAGCAATTCCATTAGTTATGCATTCTTTGTTCTTCTCACGGCAGCTTTTTAGTACAGGCCCCGGAGCCCTGCTGACGTTTTATGGCCACCAGCTGTACCTCAGTGGGAAGAGGTCCTTAGGAGCTTGCTGGAGGCTGTCTCAGAACCCACTGCAGCACACCTGACTGCCTTGTATTCAGCTCTGTACGCCCACCTTCCGCCCAGTGTCTTTCCCTCCCCTGCACCCCAGTAGCTTTCCCTGGGATTTGATCCTTCTGACTCATCCATTGCCCAGAGCATCCCTGTCATCAGGAAGCCTGTCTTCTCCTCAATGCCTGAGGTCTGCGGGGCAAGGGACAGGTGGGCAGGTTCAGTCAATTCTACCCCATTGCACCTCGCATGACATAAATAATGGTCACTTCTAGTCTTTGCTTACTGTCCCTACATGTGGTGGTCACTGCAACCCTGCAGGGTTGACCTGCTCTCACTTGGCTTATTCTTACCTCTCTGGGTCATGGAAAATGACCTTCTGCACCCAGGGAATCTCCCTTAGTTGATAAGACCAAAATGGAAACAAATAATAAGACCAAAATGGAAAGTTAGTCTGCCTTCATAAAGAGAGATTAAATTCATTAACACAAACCCTGTCTCTTTCTTGAAAGACCAAAAAAAAAAAAAAAAAAAAAATCTCTGGAGCAAGAGGAGTAACATTAGCATTGTCCATGAGGATAAACAAGTGGGGAGAACCCCCAGCTAGCTTTTTTATCATCCTGAAAGGAGACACCAGTAAGCAGCCACTGGATTTGCCAGCTGTACACATTTCACATATATGAAATTATACAATATGTGGTATTTTGTGCCTAGCTTATTTTACTTAATCTGAGATTTTCAATGTTCCTCCATATTGGAGAATGTGGCAGTACTTCTTTTCCTTTTGTGACCGAAAAATATTGCATTGTATGGATGTGCCACACTTTGCTTATGCATTCATCAACTGATGCACATTTGCATTGCTTCCACCATTGACAGTTGTGACTAATTCTACTATGAACACTACACTCATGTACAAGTTGTGGTTTGAACACCTATTCTCACTGCTTGTATGTATACGCCTAGGAGTCGAACTGCTATGCCATATTTGGAACTCCTGTTGTTTCACTTCCTGAGGAAATGCCAGACTTCCACAGCAGCTGCACCACTGTACATTCCCACCAGCAACATATGAAGGTCACAATTGCTCCACATCCTCACCAACACTTGCTGTTTTCGGAAATTTTGTTTTGTTTTGTTTCGTTTTCAGACGGAATCTCACTCTGTCGCCCAGGCTAGAGTGCAGTGGCGCCATCTCAGCGCACTGCAACTTCTGCCTCCGGGGTTCAAGCGATTCTCCTGCCTCAGTCTCCCGAATAGCTGGGACTACAGGTGCCCACCATCACGCCCGGCTAATTGCCTCGCTAATTTTTGTATTTTTAGTAGAGACAGGGTTTCACCATATTGGCTATGCTGGTCTGGAACTCCTGACCTTGTGATCCACCCGCCTTGGCCTCTCAAAGTGCTGGGATTACAGGTGTGAGCCACCGCTTCTGAAGTTTTATTTTTTTATGACCATCCTAGTAGATCTGAAGTGATAGCTCATTATGGTTTTGATTTGCATTTTTCTAATGACTAATGACATCGAGCATCTTTCGTGTGCTTGCTGGCCATTTGAATTTCTTCTTTGGAAAAATCTATTTAAGTCCTTTGTCCATTTTTAAATGTGTTGTTTGCCTTTTTGTTGTTGAATTGTATCAAGATTTTTTAAAATACAAAAACATTTTTTCTACTTTCAAATGTTTGCAAACCCAGATGTATTTTTCCTCTCTTCTCCTTACACTCTTCTTTTCCATTCCTGAGTATGATGCATATCAGAATAATTATCTTGTATGTAGAGACAAATTGAACTCTATTTCCTTTCGACTCTGCAGTTAGATGAACCTATGAGCCTATGACCAGATATTAACAAAATTAGCCAATAAGGTTGATTTTCTATTTTGATTTCTTTGAAATGATATGCCTTATTATTCAGAATTATCCACGAAATAGTTCCTTGGGGATTGCTTTCTGGATCTGTGATTTGGAAATGGATTCAAGTCTGGAGGAGAAGGTATGTGATAAAATTTGATACTATTAATTTATTTCTCCCTCAAATGAGTTTATTTTCCAACATAGTCTATTGTTTCCAAACTATACAGAAATTTTTTAAACTATAATTTCACAATGATTTGATTAGTGACTGTACTGCTAGAAAAAATATGCCATCCAGCTTTACCTTAGATCCTTCCCAAATAAGGTGTAGTATAAATAGAAAGAATGAATATAAAGTATAAAATATGCATTTTATTGTTTTATCTATAAGTCATCTTAGTGACTTTTAAAAAATGCCTCAAATTTTTGAATATACACACTCAGTGTTTTTATCAAACAATTATTCATGTATCGTGAAGCCACTTTGTCCGTGCACAGGATACATTCAGAATTATCATTATTCCTTGGGGTCCTTGAAGTTAGGGTATCATTTTGGTGTGGAAGCCAATTTCCCTAAGGGGCAAATGAAACTGCTTTTCTTTTCTTTTCTTTTTTTTTAATGAGAGATTTCAGAGATGTCTTCAGAACAAATGCTCCACAGAGAAAGAATTTCACATTTTAATCAATTTTTTAATGTACTGAGTTGGACCCTCACAAATATTCATAACTATTTTACAATTACTTAGTACATGGCTAACATTTAAGGTAACCTTTTTTTTTTTTTTTTTTGACAGAGGGTCAAAAGCAGCTTGGAGTGCCCAATTTCCCCTAAAGTCCTAACTTCAAAGGTGCTTTTGCAAGGTACAGAAAGGTCTGTGAATCACACAGTCCCTGCCAAGGCACGCTGTCCTGCTTAATCTCTCCAGAGATGGAAAGTTCAAAATGAACACCGAGCCTCTGCCTCTTTGGCATGCTCGCACTGTTCACCCATGCAGAAAGTCCAAGGCCACTGCTTGATGTCTCTTTTTCGAAATCCATGTCTAGGTAAGACTCATGGTGAGATATGGTTGTTGTAGACAGGTTAACGAAGGCAGAAGACAGCTTGCAGAAATATGAGGAAGATGCTCTGAAGAATAACAAAGCTCTGCAAGATATTAATATAGGCAAGGCCAGAATAATATCTAGAGTCTGTTATTGCCTACATAAAAATGGGGTATGGATTCATCTCTGCTTCCATATATGTGGGACACCTCTGGAAGGATTAATAAGAAGCTAATAGCAATTGTTATGAAGCCCAGGGAGATAGACGACACCCTTTTCACTTTCCCCTTATGCTTAAGAGAATTTTAAAGAAAATAAATCTAAGTGACCCTGGGACTAAAATCAAATAGGGGCAAAATGCGCAGCTTCATCAACTGTGTGTTTTAATACCACACATTATACAAACCCACACAAAAAATCGTGTCCTTGCAGACTCTGTTTTCACAACCCCCGGCATCCAGCCCAGGATGGCACAGCCCTGCAGCCCCCAGGGGCTCTCTGCATTCCTCACTAGACTGTCACCTCCAACAGGGGATAACTTCATCAAATGAGAGAAGACCCTGTCGTCTTCCCCCAGAGTAGACAACGTCCTGGCTTTTCACAAATCGATAAATTTTGCCAAATTTTTGGAATAATGTGGTACATTGTCTCTGGTTTGTTTTTTCTTTCAGCATAGCGTTTGTGAGGTGCATTCATGTTGTTGTACGCATCTTCTTGTTTTTCTATTCTTGTTGTGGTGTGGAAATACATTATGTGTTTTATTGTTGTCATAATACACTATTTGGTTGCGTTCTCTTGGCTGCAAGGAACTGTGCTACAGTGAACGTTCATGCACGTGTCTCCTGATGCACATGGGCCTATGTTTCTGTTGGTAGATGGGAGTCATGTTGCTGGGAAATAAGCTCTTTATCGGCTCAACTGTGGTGGACACCGCAGCTTTCTGAAGGCAGAAAATATATCTTTACACAACCATGTCTCTAGCACCTAGCACAGCGCTTGGCACTCAGTAGCCACACCTCAACGTTGGTTCACTTTCCTCTTCAACATCCGTATATGGAATTCTTGGTTGATCCCTGCTTCTCTGAATATCAGGATGCCAGTCTATTTTTAGGCAGAAAGGGAAGAGTAGTCAGTAACCTTCTGCCCACAGCCTTACTCAGTAGAGCAGATAAATACGCTCATACTGATCAGTATTCCCAAAAACCTATAAATGTCCCACTTTGTGCCTTCTCCGCTCCATTTCATTCCGTCATTCATCATATTTGCTCTCCTTCACGGGAGGGCAGGGAGGTTCAACGGACCTTAAAACATGAAGGTCTTTTTTCTATTTGCTGTTCTCTTCTGTTTGGTCCGAAGAAACTCAGGTAAATGTCTCCTGGTTGGCCCTGGGGAAGGTCGTGCAGGAATTCCATTTATGTGTGTGTCTGTGTGGACAGTGTGGAGGTGTGTCTGTATGTGGTTAGTGGGTGCAGGTGGGCCATAGTGGGGCTCAGCCTTGGACAATTTTGATCTCCCCTGTGAAGTTTTTTTAAAAGCTAAATAAGTGTTACAAGGATCTTGACACAAGACAAATGGGTATGTTTGCTGTGATACAAGTGAGAAGCACTCACTGCAGTCTGAGAAAAGTTTTCAGAAGGAAGTTAC